CCACAACGCCCGGCTATTTTTTGGTTGCAGCCGTCATTGTTGTTTGGCGGGTCCGGGCTGGGGATTCGAACCCGCCACCTTAGGTGTACGTGGCTGACGCCTTAGCCGGTTGAGCTATAGGCGCCGAGCCTCAAATTTCTTAAGGTACAATTACTCAAAAGAAATCACAAATTCAAGTATGGTTACTTATCTGCTTTTCAGGAACATACAGTCATGCGTTGCTTAATGATGGGACTACTTTCTGAGAAATCTATTAAGTGATTTTGTCATTGTGCAATCATAGAGTGTACATACACAAACCTAAAAAAAACTAGATGATACAGTCTACTATACACCCAGGCTATATGGTATAGCCTCTTGTTCCCATGATAAAAATACCTGTACGGCAGGTGGCCCCTGTGGCTCAGTGGGTAGGGCGCCAGCCCCATATATGGAGGGTGGTGGGTTCAAACTTGGCCTGGCCAAACTGCAACAAAAAAATAGGCGTTCTGGCAGGCACCTGTAGTCCCAGCTACTTGGGAGGCTGAGGCAAGATAATCGCCTAAGCCCAAGAGTTGGAGGTTGCTGTAAGCTATGATGACACAGCACGCTAGATAAAGTGAGACTGTCTCTATAACAAAACAAAACAAACAAAAAATCCCTGTATAGCATGTTACTATACTACTGTACGCAGTTCTAACCCAATGGTAAATATCTCTAAACATAGAAAATACAGTAAAACCATGACATATGGGATAAAAAAACAGAACACCTGTAGAGGGGACTTACTATGAATGGAGCTTGCAGGACTAGAAGTTACTTGGCATAAGTCAGTGAGTGGTGAGTGAATGTGAAGGCCTAGGACATTACCACAGACAGCTGTAGAGTTTATAAACACTGTACACTTAGGCTATGCTACACTTATAAAAAATATTTTTCATTCTTCAATAACAAATTAACTGTATTTACTGTAATTTTTGTTTTGGATACAGAGTCTCACTTTGTTACCCTTGGTAGAGTGCCACAGCATGACAACTAACAGCAACCTCAAACTCTTGGATTTAAGCGATTCTCTTGCCTCAGCCTCCCAAGTAGCTGGTACTACAGGGGCCCGCCACAACACCCGGCTATTTTTTGTTGCAGTTGTTATTGCTGTTTAGCTGGCCAAGGCCTGTTTGAAACCTGCCAGCCTTGGTGTATGTGCCCAGCACCATAACCAGTGCTAGGGGTGCAGAGCCTATTTACTGTTACTTATTTATTTATTTTTTGATAACATCAGTTTATTGTAAAAGAGAGACATGGAAATTATTTACATGATGAAAGATTTCAGAACTTCAGTGATGTGGGAAGCTTTATGTCAACGCCATTTCAGAAGTGATTTATTTCAGTCTATATACTTTCCAAGAATGTTACCATCTCTAAATAAGAAATAATCTTTGGGTTCGGTGCCATAGCTTAGTAAGTAGGGCATCAGCCACATACACCAAGGTTGGCAGGTTTGAGCCCAGCCCAGGCCTGCTAAACAACGACAACTGCAACCAAGAAAAAAAAACAGCTGGGTGCTGTGGCATGCGCCTGTAGTCCCAGCTACTTAGGAGGCTGAGACAAGAGAATCGCTTAAGTCCAAGAGTTGGAGGTTGCTGTGAGCTATGATGATAGGGGACTCTACTGAGGGCGACATAATGAGACTCTGCCTCAAAAAAAAAAAAAAAAGAAAGAAAGAAATAATCCTTGTTATCTAGAACTATTCTGGTGCCTCCATATCCTGGAGAAAGAACTTTATCTCCAGCGGTGCCTGTGGCTCAAAGGAGTAGGGCGCTGGCCCCACATGCCAGAGGTGGTGGGTTCAAAACCAGCCCCAGCCAAAACTGCAAAAAAAAAAAA